ATTTACCATAGGGCCTTGTGACTAAATCGAGTGTCGTAAGTGTTGTTAATAAATACACCTCATTCGGTTTGTAACTAAGTATGCCTCACTAAGATTACAACTAATTGTACAAGGGCCTCAAGTCAAGTCTTGTGGGTAAATCGAGTATTGTAAGTGTATGCCTTATTCTCTAGGCCACTTCATCGTTTACAATTAAGTATGCCTTCATTAAGATTCTGCTTAATATGCCTAATTTAAATTGTAGCCGAATATGCCTCACTCAGACAGTAGCCAAATATGCTTCATTGTTACTTTAGTAGAGATTAGTAACTATGTATTGCAACTAATTACACCCCATATATATACACTGTAACTAAGATTGAGTTTTGTAGCCAAATATCTCTACTAAGTATGCCTCATTTAGATAAAGACATTTATTCATAGGTACAGAGAGGAAGGGGGGGAAGAGAAAAAATTGCAGAAGTTAAAATGGGATAGAAAGTAATGACGTAGCAGACAACCACATATTATAAGGCAGTTGGTGCCAGTCTGGTAGGGACAGGATCCTTTCTCCGCCCATAGGCATTCTGAGTTACCCTTAGAGGTCAGTGGGCGTGAGTTGTGGAGTATTATTTTCGTGGCAGGTCTTTATTGGCTTAGAGAAAAATTCCAAAGCAACATATGCCACCCTCGACGCGTTACTCTTGTGTAGGTGGTCAAAAGAATTACCGACTTCTTAACCTGACATGTCGAGTGTATAGAAAATAAAAACACTTCTTCCGCCTGTGTGTGTTGTGATTTAAAGAAGTTACTTCCACTTACGTCATTCACCCTCAATCCCTCCTCCCTCCAGGCCAGGACCTCCGTGGATAGTTTGTTAAGAAGTTGGCAAACGGGTAAACCATCTCCCCCCCCACGCATCAAAATAATTATGTCGTCTTTCGTGGGTCCTCGATTCGTGTCTTAATGAAGTGTTTGCCTTTGAATTTAGGGATCGTGAGGCTCTTTAGTAAGGTCTAATTGAGTTTAGACAGAGCCTGTAGGCTCTACAGAGGTTTTAAACAGGGTTTAGATAGTAAAATACTTAAGAATAACGTTTAAAAAAGCCTGTTTTAGCAGACGAATTAAACGCAAATAAGGCTAAAAACATCCTCCTTCAACACCCGAGCGGGTTACTACGCGTAAAAACACGAAAATGACGTGCCTAAAGTGGAGGGAACCGTTAGAAAAACCCCGAAAAACTCCAACCCGAGACCATCTTTTGGGCGCTGAAAACGACCCAAGGTATATTTTTTTTTTACACGGCCCTAAAAGACCCACTAATTAAAATAACAGAGGGAACGAGAGAGGAATATTTTACAACACTACTCAATAATAGAAGAGCAGTTTTGGTGGAGCCGAACACACACACACAAACCTGGTAGAGGTAGAGAGAAGGGGGAACGTACAGAGGGAGGGGGGGAAAAAAGAGCTAAATGAAGTCATTACTCAGGCTACTTAAAATCAGCCACAGTGACAATTATCTGGCTAATTATGAAATGAGTCCAGTTGAGATAGAATTGATTTTAATTGACGCGACACAATACTGAATACTAATTGAAGGGACCTTCTATCTGATCTTTCATTCTCATCGCGTGTATAAAAGCTACAGACGGGGTGTTTATGCAAATTTTTTCTTACAGCCCATAGGTTATCATTTATTACATTAAACGTCATTAATTACTACTCGTTATTCTACAATTCGCTCTCTTATTACCTTTTAGTACAGAGGGGTGCGCCCGATTTACGTCTTCTCTCCTCCAACTTTAAAAACTTCTATTTTATTTTATTTTTTTTTTTCTCTTTCTTTCTTTAAGCCGCGATTTGCCACGGTTTATCGCGGTTTGCGAAAGATTTTTATGGTAGTTATTTCGATTTATCGAGGGTTTTGAGTCATTTATGAGATTTTTGGAGATTTGACATAATTTATAAGGGTTTCGGAGGATTTTAACAGGCATTTAGTAAAGTGTTAGCATTTAATAAGTTGTAAGCATTTGTGAGGGATTCCACTGTTTGTAAGGGTTTCTGTTACTTGTAAGGGCTTCTACTATATCTGAGGTTTCTGATATCTGTAAAGGTTTCTAATTGTAAGGGTTTCTGTTACTTGTAAGGGCTTATACTATATCTGAGGGTTTCTGCTATCTGTAAGGGTTTCTACTGTTGGTGAGGGTTTCTACCGTTGGTGAGGGTTTCTACCATCTGTAAAGGTTTCTGCTATCTGTGAGGGTTTTCACTGTTTGTGAGGATTTCTACTATTTGTGAGAGTTCTTCAGGCTCATACTTTGTAAAGATTTCTATATTTTATGAGGGTTTCACATGAAGTTTTTTAATAGTTCAACATGAGTATTTACACCCGATTCATGAAAGACTTTGAAAGTTTGACGCAATTTATAAAAGTATTCACTATTTATGAGGGTTTCTACGCTTTATCAGTGTTTAACATAAGTTATTTGGAGGTAATCGCAGTATTTACAAAGGATTTTAAAGGTTTTTCATTGTATTCTCTGAAGCAGTGTTGCTGAGGGTCAAACGAGAAATGGCGGATTGAAAAGCGTTACAAAAAATGTGTAGATCACTTTTTATCTACATTAGTAATTGGGACAATGTCAACTTGGATTCGAGGCCTTAATGAAAGCGTGTAAACAGGGAACGGGTGTCCTTGTTCGTGTCTTGCAACGAAAAGTCCATCCCACCACATGGAATTTCGATACCTTAATCAACAGAGAGATAAAATGTAATTTTAAAAGGCCTCAACGCGTATAATACAGAAAGCTGAAGGCCTTAGAAGGATCCCAATCGAGGCCTCTTGATAAACTTTCACATTTATCGAATAAAATATAACGAGAAACAGGCTTTAATTGTGACTGAATCAGCCTTATAATAATATAAGCCTTATTAAGGCTTAAATGTTAAAAAAAACATCTGGGAAACTCAAAAAAATGGCATTTAAGTCGAATTTTTAGATGAAAAATCCTCCAAAAAATCACTTCACACTTATAAATATTTGACGTGGGAAGAGAAAATTTTAAAAATATAACGTGTAATTTTAGTGTGAAAATTTGTGAAAGTGTAGAAAAGTTGTTTGGACAGAAAGTGCACGCGACCTTCACCCAAATTTCGCAAGAAGCCTGCTTGTTTGTGTGTACGTGTGTGTATGGTGCAGATTGATGTGCCAAGAAATGCCATCATCTTTGTGAATTTATGACCTGACACTAAATGGGGGGAGGGTGGAAAGAAGCAGACAGTACTCGGCAATGTCGACAAACCATTTCTGTGACCCGACGATCGATACTCGATCCGTTGACCGACATCAAAGTTAAACATTGTTGTGACTACCTTCCTCTAACACCCCTTCCACGTTAAAGGCATTTTATAACTGCTTCCATCCCCTTATATATAAGGGAAAGATATTTGCTGAAACTTTGTCTTCACTCCCCCTGTAGGCCTACATCCCTAATTGCATCACTAGAACTCTTATAGATTTGCCTCAATGGCGTTTGTCCTCTTATGGTTGAACGGATGAGTGGACGTTAATCAAATTTGGTATTCGCCTGGCTCTCGAGCCCATTAATCACCCCCTAAACAAAATTTTATCCCTGATAGTTTTATACACGTAACTTTAACTGTATGCTATACACTCCAGTGCCCATTTTTTTTTCTGTAAACACAAAACAACTCTGTGTCGAAACACCCTGTGGTACCCCCTTGTATCTATCCAGCCTGAGGGATTGAAAATATTTTTTAACACGCAACCTAATTAAGGACCTCGTGAGAACACCTATCGAGGAATTTTATTCGAAATGAAGTTAACAGGGAACCTAGTCTCAGGCCTAGATACAAACGAAGCGGGGGAGGTCGTTGTACGTGATGTGGTAGATATGAGGTTACCAGACACCAGACGGCATTGTCACGCAACGATTACACATAAGAGGACCCCGGTACGTGAAACATAACAATCTGGTTCGAGTCTCGTGCGTTTAATGTGCAACCCATGTCACGTATTTATCTCTCTTTCGTTCTAATCTGGTTCCCCTGTCAAACGGGCCAAGAACATTACCCAATACAACAGGAGACGTTACGTAATTCAAACAATCGCTAACTCGGATCTTTGTGCACCATTGTTTAACGTCGAGACCCCCCACTGTTTTCCTACCCCACAATAGATACAACGGTAAGTGAATAATCGTGTTAAATGCTACTATAGTAGTAATGAGTAGTAGTGAGAGCGTTACGGTACCCGCAAACGGGGGGTATTTTAGGGGGTGAGGGTGTATATATCTTCGTTACGTAGATACACCCCACATCTGGTTAAGGATATTGTAAGGTATACTCCCCAATCTCGTAGTTGTAAGTTCTAAAGGTTAGTAAGGAGCCACCGGTTGTGCTGAGGAATGATATCTTCAGGAGCTCTTAGTAAACAGAGATATTAGGAAAGAAAATGTAAAAATGGAGGCTCTTACTGGCATTACTTTGTTATCAGTCTCTGTGGGTGACAGGGGTGACACGTAAATGGTGGCAGCAGACACCCAAACAGCACCTCTCTGACAAGGATCATCTTTTTTCCCCACCTGGGTAATGTCCGCGTCGGGGAGGGTGTTGAAAAAAAGCTATCAGAGGAGGCCGCGCGGGCAGGTAGAGAAGCAAACAATGCCGTTATCGGAGGATTTTCTGTAAATGCGAAATCGATAGCGTGGATCCGGGATTCGGCATCTAGCCTAGAAGCACGTGTACACACACTCACACACTCACACACACACACACATATACAACTACACACCACCACCAGGCGGTGGCGGGCGAAAAACACAAGTCAGGAAATGCAACTTACCCGTATTCCAGAGCAAGGTGTGCCACTCGGTTAAGCCCAAATGCGCTTTAGTGCGCAGGACAGGCCGTCCGTTTTGCAGGGTGGCCACTGGCATCGAGCAATGATGGCGGACGAACCGTTCGCCCAGCCCGCTACTTAGCTAATGAAGGAAGGGCCGTTGCACGACACGGAAGCGTTACAGCGCCCGATGATTTGTGGCCCGTCATTAACGTCCACCGGATGAAAAATCGAGTTGACTGAGTGACGGAGGGGGTGACCCGGAGGGGGGGAAAGAAAGGAGGGAGGGAGCGGCAATCCCCGGTCCTCCCGAGCCATCCGCAAGTTTAGTTTTGTGCCATCGAGCAGCTTCTTTCGACGTGCCGCGGTACGGCACACACAAACTGGCACAACACACGCGCGCTTCCCTACTTTCGCCCCTCCCCCGGCAGACGTCGAGCTGGGACGCCATTGGACGGGCGCCGGTCACGTGACCGAACCGAAATGGTCAGATTTTGTTATCAATCCAGAAATGCACCTCAATGCTGGCCGAATGCAAGACGAGTGGCCGTGTGAGATTTCCAACACGGGTTTACCACCGTCACACAGCGCCCATGTCGCCTCCTCCTACACCTCCACCTTGGCGACAGTGGGCTACGTGCACTGGATTACTGCGAAACTGAACAGTGGATGTGGAGGGAGAAGAAGCTCAGCACACACCAAGAAACCAGCATGGAGACTGGGTGCGAAGCCGGGTTTATCAACAGTCAACCGTCCATGGCTGAATTTATGACAGCCCTGCCTCATATCAATGAAACGTTTCGGCCGAGCTCATCAATCAACGGTCCGGTCATGCCGCCACCTACCCTGTGCCAGCTCGAGAATGCGAATCAGCTGCAGGTCTGCGCCGGTACCCCAACGTCCCCTTCTCCACCCGGCAAACACGCGTCGGGAAATGGTTACAACGTCTCCGTACCGGAGTACCCATGGATGAAGGAGAAGAAGACCACGCGTAAGCAACACCAAGGTGAGTTGCACCTTTATCAATCACCCCACTGTCTCCTCTGACGTCCATCCATCATGACCTTTGCACTCTGCCACGCTCGGGTCGAGTCCTCTCCTCTTCCTCCACGTTTTCTTTTTTATTTTTTATTTTTTCCTCACGTGCTACCCCCGTCTCTACCCTTTTTTTTTTCTATCCCGCTCGTCCGGCTCCGATGACCGTCTACGTTGGCGTAACCATGGTAGCGGGTAAGATTTATTAGTTCGGGTTTCGTCCCCCTCCTTTGTAACGCCGCTCGCCTGTCGAATAATTCGCTTATTACGTTTCTCTCGCTTCCCCCGTCCCCCGATATCGCGCTAGGGGCACTTTATAAGGGGGGAGGAGAGGTAGTCGGGAAATTCCGTCGTTACGCTAATGATAAAAGCCATGAGTTTAGGTAGGGGCAACCCCGGGTGGTTTGTGTTTACGACTCTGCCCGAAAAACCTCCCACAGCTTGAAACGTTTTTCTCACCCCCATCCGAAGTAGAGAGGGATTTTCGGGCTTCAGCTAATTTCTGGACACCCGAAATAGATCGGGTGGCGAATTGTGGAATGTCGGTGACCCTCGGGGCACGTGGGGGATATTGAAAAAAGGCCCGGAAGCTCGGTAGAGCCCCCCTTCGTCGATTGTGTGTTGAAAGGACGAGATTTATCACCAGAGAAGTAGACATGTCTGCCGGCGCTACTTCTATGTTGACAATGAAACACGAATTATTCGTTGGGGTAATAAAGGCAGTTTGATGTTGATGCCCACATATATCATCGGGGGCCCCCTTCTAAACGTCTAAATCTACGCACGTGCCTCTTGCTCTTCCTTCTTTACCCGTTCGCTCGCTAAAAAATCCTCTGTTTTTGTCGTAAACAAATCGGACCTTCTACTTAATTTACGGCCGGGCCTTTCCCGGTTGCTTAAGGCCTCGGAATATTAAATAGGCCTCATTTTTCGAACTCATTAAACGTAATTGCGGGGTGTTTAACTTTAGGCCTGGGAATGATTAGTGTAATGAGTGGAATTAGAAACGATTTTAAAAACCGATCGGAAGGCTATTCTCTAGACTTTACAAAGGCCCTAATAATGTAGGCCTCTTATGAATTAATTATTTATTAAATAAGCCTCAAACTTCTCGAAGAGGCTTTTAAGGAAAGAGTTACTACGTGGTAATTTTCTACGCTTTAATTGTGTATAACGCGCGAGGCCCTTAACTTATTTAAATATTAAATAAAGGCCTTAAAGAGTAATGGGAACGCTTCGGGAACTTAACTAGGCCCTTTACGAATTAGCTACATCGTTATTTATCTCTTAAACACACCACAAAATAAGGTACGAGGTTCTTAATACGAGAGATCCCAAGGGTGTCTTACATAACAATCGCCTACCCCGTTAATCGCGTATAATGCGCTGGGGCCCCTAACCTATCTAAATGACATAAAAGGCAATTTTATAACCGTATCGGGGCATAAAATAAAAATTATTACACCATTTAACGGACGTTAAAAGGGAGGAAAGAAAAAAAAACACATGATAAAGCGCTAACGTCTTAATCTCCCGATTTCATTAGGTACACTTCTAAATTAATTAAGCGAACGAGCAAGGAAGGAAGGCTACTACTCGAAAGGCCTTAAAAAAAAATAGAAGGCTCTAACGTAATGCGTGTAAGTAAGAGGCCTCGATTGCACTTTGATCGATTGAAGGATTTAGTTTGGTCCACTGTTCCCAAATAATTCTTTCTCCGATGTAGGAAGGGGGGATGTCATTGGGTAGCAGCTTAGCCTTATAGACTATCCAGGCTTATTGAAGCGTGCAGGATACTTTACGCTCGCGTGAATCAACAAAGTATAGTGTTTACTACAGATACACATCTTGCTATTCTGCGAAATGACTTATTTTTGGTTCAGACAATAATATACACAAAAGTGGACCTCCTAATAAGTGAAGAATGATAGACAATGCGCACCCTTCACGCTATGAAAGAGCCTGTTTTTTTAAACAAAAGGCTTTAAAATATTCGAAGGATCAAGGCTCATAAAGGCAGGAAAGGCTCGAATACAACAGGAGACAAAGCGGCGCGCTTTCTTTTATTTAATATAAGGCTTCAAAAGCTTATAGGCCTTGGAGTAGTGTGAATAGATCTAAGTTTAATACGGAGCCTGAATGCTTGTAATCAGTTAAGAAGACGATGGTATAAGCCTGAAATCACTTAGGATATCCCGAAGGCATAATTTCGAAATGGTAGGCTTGAAAGGCCCTGGCGCTATCCATCAATGTAACACGAGGGAGTTATAAGGGCTAGTAGCATCATCACCGTAGCTATGGTAATCGGTCACTCACGGCGGGGTAAGAACCCGCGACGTATACAGAATGCCGCCTTGTATACCTGGGGTGTCTCATAAATAGGAAATTTTAGGGAGTCCAAGCCGAACACGTGACGGCCCCGGTTTTAAAATTTTAATCAACACCCCGGTGGTCAGGACTAGCTAGGAGGGACAATTAGCGAACAAGAAGGGGGAAAGCAAAGTTAACGGCGAATTTGATGGAGATGGATGAAGGGGGAAGACTGTCATGTCGTGGTTTCTCAAGCCCATCACCCTTACAATGACAATGCCAAGACCTTACGTGTCATGTTGCCTCTACAGAGAAAAGGCACGGGGTATTTTCTACTACTTGATCTGTTTTTTAATCACCAAAGATTGGCTTCATTCAACAGACAGAATGAGAAAAAGATATTATATATGTATGTTAATGAAGTCAGACAAACGGATTGACCCCGTGATTTACGTCGGATAAATAAATGAGGAGTAGGAAATTCTTTTTCTTTCTCTTATTTAAACTCTGGATTTTTCCTTAAGCTATAGGAAAATTTTATTTATAATTAATTCTATAAGGGCATAACAACGGCCTATAGGCATTTTTTTTCAAATTTTAAGGCATTGTTTAAGGCCTAGTAATATTTAATGAAAGATGTGTTTCCATAAAAGCCTATAGGAAGACACTAAAAAATAGGGTAAGTCACGATGCCACTTCAGGGTAGATGATCCAAACAATAGGGTAGAGATACCCAAAAAGTAAGAATTTAATCTGTCACAATCAGGCATTAATTGGGGTAGAGACTCTAAAGATGTTTCAGAAGTTATTATTAGGCATTAAATAAGAGAGGACCCCCGAAAATTAACTTTAAAGTTTATCATGTGGTACGTCTTTACTATTAAGACTAGACATATTCACACTAAACATCATGTTGATCAGGATATTTAACTCTAGGATAGGGTTGTGATTATCAGTATTGTTTAACACTACAAGATATGTTAAGGATTCTATATTAACATAATTAATTCTAAAGGGGTTACTGTCTGCAAATCTTTCTTTAACCCCCTCGGAGGATTATCCTGAAGTTCTTTATCTAAATATACAACCTATTAAGGATAATCCTCAAAACTCACAGAAGGTTTCGTGAGGTTCTGTACCCGAATATTTAACTTGTAGAGGGTTACCTTGAGGCTCTGTACCCGAATATTTAACTTATAGAGAGTAAACTATAGAATTCTGTATGCCGCAGGGGGTTATCCTGAGGTTCTGTACCCGAATATTTAACTTGTAGAGGGTTAACTGTAGGATTCTGTAAACCGCAGAGGGTTATCCTAAGGATCTATACCCGAATACTTAACTCATAGATGGTTAATTTGAGGATTCGGTAAATTTTAGGGGGTCATCTTAAGGTTCTGTATCCGAATACTTAATCTACCAGATGGTTATCACGAGGATTGTATACCAGAATATAGAGCAGACTAAACTAATTAAGATACTACATAAAGCATTAATGCCTACACAATAAATGACATTAAAGCATATTTCGGATATAATTATGGGGAGGAATTTTTCATTTAAGCAATACACTAAACAATCAGCGATTAGTGTCGACAGCGCTTAGTTACCATTACGGTCACGAGGTTTTGAATTTTGCGTGATGAACGATGGCAGCACGCATTTGTCGGCACGTGCCACGTAACTATTATATCGATGACAGAGGCCCCATATAAATGACTTAATGCCCCATAAACGCTATTTTTATTAATACAGATCTAATTAAAGTAAAGGGAGTGCCACACACACATACACACACACACACACACTGGCTTTTACCTTCTGTGTGCCGCGCCCCGCGCTGACGTCAGCAAACAAGCCACCTGTAGATAATTCCGCGAATGATGTGCATGGCGAGTCCCGCGCATTCCATGTCGTCGACGATGTTGACATAGTAGCATTAGCCATAGGGATGAACCAAACACTTAGTTCGGGTGAGTTCTTTTTATTTTTTTTCTTAGTAAAAATAAACAATTTTGTTACTGTAGTAACACTGGCAGTTTCTTAGAATTGTCCTTTAAGGCAGGGGTCAAGTTTAAACGCGGGGGTAGGCACGTCTGAGGGGGGTTGTCACTGTCTCTTCTCACTCGAAAAGTCCATCTTCCCACTACCACGGTAACAAAATAACTTGCCTGGTAGAATTTAATTAGTCAAAAAGGCCTTCTGCTGGTGTAAAGGAGGTCGATGCTGCTATAGGAACCAAAAAAAAAAAAAACACCCCCTCTGTGTTGTTTACTCTTGTGTTCCCCCCTCTTAGGAATGCGATTCGTACTATCGCAGGAACGAGTGATTAAAATTCTCCTCTATCTCTTTATGCTACTATGGTAACAAGTAGTTTTCTTCTGTAATTTACTAGCGTAACATCTACAGAAGTAACTAACTTTTCCCCCCAAATCCTTTATGATTTTACTACCGTAATAACAATTCAACCTTAAACACAGTACCAGGCCTATTCTAGTAGTTACGTTTATAGATCTATAAAAGTGTCATTACTGTTACACGCATTAAAAACTCAAACACTACCATCGTAACCATGTTAAAAACTAGTTTATTTAAAGATCTGTTACTCTAGTAGTGTAAAAGTAAGCGAAAAACAGCGTAACACACTATAGTAGGCCTGAGTGA